AATCTCCCAGCTGTGGTGTTACTGCTGTTATTTTTAGAGAAATAGCAATATCTATGTTGAACTTGTACGGTTGTCAACATTGATGTACTCAAAAGAATTGCATTACTTAAACTTCTTACTCTTCCAATTGTGTAATAATAATAATATAAATGATGAAGCTTTCATCGTATCATTTAAATAAAATTACATCTTTTGGAATGTAAATCTATATTATTAAGTATTTCGTAATTTCTGATCTTGCTAGAAAATATAAATCATTGAGTTCGTGTTGGCTGACTTGCTGCTTACTGATTATTAGGCCTTTGTTTTTATATTTAATTTGATTACTGATATTTTTTTTTATATCTGATTACGACGGGTGAGACGGGTCAGTAGGTGATGTTTACTCTTCCTATGCACATGATCCTAGCTCTGAAATTTCCGGGGTCCTTATTTGTTTGTTTTGAACATTCGTTTTCTTCACTTTTTGTCAATAATTCTAAGGGGGTGGGTGGAAATGGCGTGTGAAATGACTATGATTCAATGAATTAGAATGTGAGAAATTAAGTCGCATTAATAAGAAGATTTTTTAGAGATTTCGGTCAATTTTTTCATATATTTTCTGAAAAGTGCAACAATCTCCTAAGTAATAAAATTTTTCCTCTAGGAAATAGCATGACAAAATAAAAAGGAAAATGTCAATTTTATGCATACTATAGCATAATTTTACATTATCAGTTTATCTTCGCTGCATTTTTGAACAGTATGTCTTCAAGTTTGCACAAAAAAATCAATATTTTTTTCTTTGCCAAAAATGTGAAAAACATGATGCAATTATCAATTTTACATTAAAAATTCATTTTTAAGATTCGTTTACTTGAGAATAAATTATTATTTCCAAAGATATTTCATTGAATTTTCAGGCATTATTCCAAAAAGTTTGATCACACCGCATGCCAATTTTTAACTTTTTGTGAAACAAAAGATATTGAAAATGTTCGCGTTTTTCTAGGACAACCGTCGTATGGCAAAATATTCGTATGACACAATATTCGTACCTTTCCAAGAAATAAAAGTCCACTGATTTAAGGGCGATAACAATTAACAATTAATCAATATTTAAAAGCTGTTAAATTTTACGACTTGTTATGGTATAGCGGATAAATTGTCGGCCTATATAAGAAAAATCGATGCTCAGAATTGTTATTGTTTATATTCATTACTAAAACCCCAGTCAATCAATCAAATCTGAAAATAAAATCCCTTATTTTTTAACATACATTGATTTTGAAAAGAACATTTTCCATAGAAAAGTTTTGATGCCATACTTTCTTATATTTATAATAATAAGTTTGCTCTAAATACCTGGTTTACAAATTGAGTTAAGCTAGTCTTCTTTTAATTTACATTCAGTCTGACGTGATATATTATATAAATATTGCATGTAGGTGAGTGTAACATTGAAAATTTTCACCCCTCGAAAACCATTGTCAACCTCGGCTGCGCCTCGGTTGACAATGGTTTTCTTGGGGTGAAAATTTTCAATTTTACACTCAACTACATGCAATATTTATTATATTATACTGAATGTTTTATACAAATACATATTACAGTGAACCTGCGCGCATGAATTCCGTGCAGTCGCTATTTTTTGGAATACCACCCGTCGTCAAGCAATTTGACTGTTGCTACGCAGGAGGGCGTGCCTTCATTATTCAGCGGGTAGTAGTGTTTTTTATCAAATGTTTCTCGACGAATCAGATTCAAGTAATTTACATGAAAGTATAATATAAAGAAGTAATGACGATTCTAACTAAGGAAGCTGATTATGCTATGTTTAATGCTAATGGATTATAAATTGACAGAAAAAAAGACGGAATTTATATAACAAATAGATTGAATGTGTGTGAACATTTTATGAGTACTTTCTAGCTAACTATCAAAAACTCTGCTGTTTATTTTACTCTTAACTTAATTTTATTCATTGTAGAAGGATATGGAAATAACGAACAGTATTCATTCTAAACGTCCATTAAACAATATACAAAATAAGAGCAGAGCAAACATTCCGAAACATCAGAGGTCTCTCTCTGAGCATCTGCTCTGCTCGTTGTCATAATCATCTAACTGAAAAAAATCTCTCAATTCAATCTCTAGATAATGGACTAACAATTGGTATGAAAAACGTCAGTCAGCATTTCATTCAATGATAAATTGTATTTGCTGACAAGGTCATTTCTGTATACATAGAATTTACTCTCTGACTTTAAACGAGACTGTTGATATTCTTGTTTCATCAACTTGCTTGTCAATAATTTTTCGTTTAAGAAATTGTTCATAACGTATGAGCATGCTTTGCGTATCGACATTGAATATATATACTCCGTATGCAGGTGATGAAGGTGTATTGCTGCATAAGTAAGGGAAGTTGATGATAGAAAAGTTAATGTCATCACGTTTATCATATAGCTTGGTTGTTAGAATACCATTAGTTTCTTTTCAAGTAAAATATCCAAGTCAGCAGAAGTGTCAATCTGTTATCTTTTATCTCAAGCTCACCAGGATATATCGTGTCGACGTAGAAAAATTATCATTATTAATTGACAATACGTCGTCGATATATCTAAATGTTTTGAAGGCCACAGCAAGTGTTTTCTTCTTTTCACGCATAAAAATTTTGCATAAATTCAATTTCATATGAATAAAAAAATAAGTTATGCTAATAACGGAGCGCTTGTTATGGTGTAACCATATACAAATGTACCCATGGGAATTCCAATAGATTGTTTCAATACCTGGTAAAAACCACATAGATATTGTCAATCAAATATCAAGCATCTTCTTGATGTCAACTTCAGAGTACTTATGTGTGCAATCAGAATCTGTTTTAGCAAAATAATTTTTCAAATGACCAATAACGAGGTAAGTAAATTTACGAGTTCCATTTTTGTTGAAGAAGCAGCTGTCAACGATATCAAAAAGCCTGGATTTTAATTTGTCGTGGGGAATTTGGTGTATAAAGTTGAAAAGTCGTAAGTTTTTAAGCTGTTGATTTTTGTAAAGTCTTGTGATTTCAAATTGTCCAAAAGTTCTTTAGAATTTTTTAGTATCCACATCTGATTTACACCACTTCTTGAATATATAGTTGTACAGTACTCTTGAAGTTTTTCCTTCACTACTGTCAGTATTTTATTGAGAAGTAACGAAAGAGGCTTGGTTGAACATTTACTGGAACCTGCAATGTATCTTTGTTTGTAAGGATTCTTATGAAGGTTCGGAATCCAATATATATAAGGTAGTTAAGAAGTAAAATTTAATACTTAAATTTTGATTTTCGAATTTCGAACATACATGTTAATTAATATTTATCAATGGCTAAGGTCATGCTGACATGTCATGTTCTGCCCACTTCTCAATGTAATAATATAATGCTATAATTCATTTCGTGAAATAAACATCTTATGTTTTTCATACAACTTTCTCTCTCTCTTGATATTATATGCAAATAAAATATTTCGTGCTCTTTCTCTCTCTATCTCTCTCTCTCAATTTTTTTGATACTTTATCCAAATGAAATGATTTTTTTATAGAAATAAATAAAGTAAGATCATTTCAACAACATTGTTCGGGGGGGGTCTTATTAACAACGAAAATGAAATCTATTGCAAATAAACACATACTCACACACACTCCCTCACTCCACCCTCACCACACACACTCACAAATAAATTCAGGAGACATTATCATTAATTATCTAAAATATATAAAGTAATATTAAATCTTTGGGATGATTTTTATGTCACAGAATCTATCATGAAAAGGGTATCACCTTTCGCAATAATGATGAGATTGCATTGGTAACTATCTATAAATAAAAGAGAAATCATGGTGATACCGCTTATAGAGCAGTATGAAGACTCTACTCCAGATAAGCTTGTGTGTTGTCCTTCTGTCGGTTTACTCGAATGGAGACAATGTTCCCCCTTCATTCAGAGGTATGTTACATGTATTTGAAGAAATATTTTTTCTTGTACCTAACATGTTTCTTAGATATTTTAAGGCAGTCCAGAGTTATACGCATTCAGGTTTAATTTCATACAACTACAAACTTCAAGTTTAAAATATAGCTGTTGAAAACCATAACAATAATTCGTGAATGTTTTGATAGAAAAGAAGGAATGTTTGGCAAAATTATTATACTTATTTAACTTGAAAGAGAAAAGTCCTTACACTATGCATGTTAATCCAGATCAAGCATACTTGCTAAATCTAACTAAGTTTGTTTAACGATACGGTTAAAATCATTTTAAGTATCGATTAACCAATTGATATCACTTGTGTGAAAAATGATAATTTATATTTTGAAAATGATTTTGTCCCTTAAAATGAATACCAGTGTTAACTTATGAGGGTAGTGTTTGCACTTTATATGGAAGAGGTGCGTGAGAAAAAAGCATAAACAAAAACTCGTGAGAAAAAAGGGCTGAATCACCCCCACCCCATACGTCTACGTGAGTTAAGATTTAAACTGTCAAAACATTTTTTTCTTCTTATTTTTCTAGATTTTGAGACTGTATCTTAATGATCTATTTTACATTTTAAAGGTTTACAAAGAATACTTAAATGATTGAAAAAAATAAATTAGTGAAAATATTTTATATTCTGAATACAGAATTTTTTCCTAATAAAATAATATATCTTTTAGATTTGTTTACAAATTGGACTATTAAGTTATGTTATGTATTTTACGTGAAAAAGTATGTCTAATATGGGATTTTTATGAATGCTCACGTGAAAAGGAATGACAAATGTGGGATTTTTATGAATGCCTTGTGTTTGATGTAACTAAAAAATATTATTGACAGATATATTTTTGAAAGGTATAAGTTGGCTTGATTGATGAAGATTCACATCCCGCTTTATTTTGATATTTACAATAAATAACTCATCAACTGCTTCTCTTTAAATTAATACTTTTATTTCTTTTTTGTAAAAAAAAAACTGCAGGAAAACTTCAAAGCCTTCAAAATTCTCGCTTGTTTTGGAAACTGACTGGGTCCCATATGAAGACTGTGGATCCTGTTTCCATGAAAGTGGATGTTGTCTATACATATGATGTAACGAAAATATCCAGGAATAGATTTCAAGACGGTACATTTTTTTAAAGTTATGAATAACCAGTTCTTGTTAATTTAGTTTAATAGTTTGTACTGCATATATATGTACCATACAGTATGTTAGACTGATAATATTAAATTCAGGTAATAAGGACAAAGACTGTGCAACCATACTAAAGAAAAATCCCGGTCGGAGAGGAAGGGATGGTGTATATACCATTTATCCGGATGGAATACAAGGGAAGAGAGTGTATTATGACATGACAACAGAGGGAGGAGGTTGGACGGTATGTTAACTGTTAATAGTTACATGTTCTTTGTTAACATATAAATAATTTCATTAGAACTATAAAGTCATATTCATCTTTCAGCAGCGCATGTACAGGTTTATTAATGAAACTACTTCATGTCAAAGCAATTCGAAGAGACAATTGAAAATTAGTTCAGGTTTTACAAAGAAGACAGGACGGTTCTACAGATTTTTACCGGACTTGGCGAGAATATAAACAAGGCTTTCGGGATACCTCTACAAACTACTGGATTGGTAAGATAAGTTTATGTAACATTTAAGATCTAAGATATTTTTTTAGATGTGTGTAAACCATTATCTCAACCATTCTTAATGATTTTTAGTAAAGACCTGCTAATCTTTCTTTAAAAAACCTTGTTTTTTTCTGAAATAACTAGAACCAAATGATAAGGATCTATAACTAATAGAAAGACACATGTATATTTATTTTATTGCATGCATTGAGTATTGTGATTGGTTATCTCAAGCAAAAAAAAAAAAAAAAGCAGTGCACTATAATTTTGAGAGTTAAATACATCTAATAGTTAATCAGATTAAAGTTAAGTTTTCAACAAAAAGAACGAAAAGTTTTCACCATAATCAATCACGTATCACAGTGTTTACATAATAAATATTAATATTGATAAATCAGATATCCATAGTATTTTACCAATATTTGAATACTGTTCGTTACCTCCATTTTTTATTATTACTTCAAGTGCATCAATTTCTCATAAAATAAACAACATATATAATTTCATCATTACTTAATGCATTGAAATTCCTAACGAAATATTGCAGATGACCTTGTAATGAAAATAAACGTGAAATAAAACAATATATTAAGATACAGCATTATTCGTTTTAGAAAAAAAAATTACCTTCTAGAATTTCCCTACCTATTTAATTTATTCCTATACCTTTACATGTTCTTAAAATGTACTTAGATAAATTGTCTTTTTGTTTCTATAATTCACATTTATATAACTAGCTAGGGTGTTCCAAGAAATTCTTGTGTTATGCTTCGTTGATTACTGTGAAAGGTGACACAGGTTAACCAATCTTTAACATTTTCTACAATGGTCTGTCAAGTTAGAGTGATAGTAATTTAATAGCGTTTAATTCTATCCCTGATAGGTCTTTAGTTTATTTAAATTAAAATAAAAAATCTGGATATCTGTTAACTTTAAATGTCTGGGATATATTAATTTGTTTGGAAATTGAATTAAAATTGAAGATTCTATCATTGAAAAGATATACATGGAGCACGGATCAAACCATAGTCTCTCAGTATTTTTGAAGCCCCCTCCACTTCTAAAACTTTGCTATAGGTCGGTAACAACGATTTGGATTGCTGTTGATCAAATGAGTAAATAGTGATATATGTACAAATAAATACATGTAAAGTTCAGTATATTAGAACGTATTTGACAAATAATTCAATCAAAATAGAAACAAACCCCGCTATGCTTCATTGATTATCCCTAAAGCTTTTTCAGTAAATGCTTGCATCAAAGAAACCCTGTTCTTACATGCAAGTAAACAATTAATCCACTTACAAAAACTATAGTAAAATATGCTGTTGCTGTTTTCTATTATACAAATTCGTTCTTCAGATTTAAAGAGCAGTTTCAACGTGGCCAATTGACGGTGAACTTTAATTCGAATGTATTTTTAGTATTGAAATATAAGGAGAGACGGGCATTAAGACAGCTAGAGAGACGAAAAAATTCTTTTCATATAAGATGACGACAGCAAACTCTTGATGTTAAAAACAAACAAAATTTTGCCAGCTGACGAAAGTGATACATTTCCTTCGATTTGTTAAACTAATATAAACATGAATCAAAATGTTACCAATCTTGTCCTTGACAGAATGTTTAGGGATAACGTTTACAATAAAAGACTTTCGACAAATGTTAACGCTTTTAACAACTAGATCCACAAAAATATAAAGCAAGCGAGGATCTAAAGCAGGGGTGGATATTGGATTTTTTGAGTTATTGAAATAATGTAAAGTAGCAAAAATGACTCGATAAGTTGTTAACGTCTTTATGAGTTTTGACTTCAAAATATTTGTATTTGTTCAAATGGGGTGAACACATAAACAATAAAATGCTTTCTTTGTTTGTTATTACTGGAATTAAGCGGTTTATGTAAATTTTTTCTGCAATAGCTGCGACCGTTAATTTCAGTAATAACAAACAAAGAAAGACATTTTATTGTTTATATTTATATCTGTTTAATAATCATTTAAAGAAAAAATAAAAAGTTTAATTATTGTATTAATGATGCAAACGTCTTTATACGTTTCATTGATGGAACAGCCACTGATCAAGAAATCTGTACAGCTGACATGCCTTATGTAGTTCATGCAGTGAATAACGCAATGGGTTTTCTTAAAAAATAAAGGAGAAAATATTCAGTGGATGAAAAATATACTCGGAACAACCTTTCACCCTGGAAAATTTTCCTGGATATGTTAATTTAACACGGTTAACTTTTAATGTATCCAAAAAAAGGAAAATTACCGGTTTTTGCTTTTTTGGGGGGGAGGGGCAAAAACTTGCATGACAACATTAAAGATATATTTCCTTCTTTCTTTTTTTTTTTTTTTTTTTTGAAAGAATGTATTCCTTTTAAAAGCATGAAAAGTGTTTGGAAGATAATATATGAATAAAAGTATTTACCATTCAATAACAAAAGATTTCATGGCTAGTATAGTAATGAAAATTCGGTTTGAGGAAAACATTTCTGTTCCTGATAGAAGGTGATAAACATGACCCTGTTACCTCGTGACTGTGTAAAATGTGAATGTGTTGGATGTCTTCAAACCAGAAAAATACGAAACGTAACCTAATTAACATTAACGAATTTTACTAAAGCAAAAGAAACATACATCATTTAATCTCGATTAAAGCAGAATCCCCCTAAAGAAGAAACTATTAACTTAAAAAAGCACTTTTGTCAACAGATGATTTAGAATATCTGTGCAACTTCAGCGTACAAAATGTCTAAAACGGACATGTGCAAAAGAATATAATTTATTCATTTAGTACCTGTATTTAGTTATGGAAGTAGTTCAAGTATTAACTAACTTTTAAATTAGACAACTTTAAAAATTCGAAATCTTTAGATGACGAGTATCGTTTTTTCAAACATTTGGTTTTCGAATTTATAATGCATAATTAGCAAATTATTGCAATAAAACAAAATAAGAGTTCTGATATTTCTTTGAAAGGAAATGACGCAATCTATCAGCTGACAAAGAAGAATGACCAGGTACTACGAGTTTGGCTTAAAAAATTTAATGGCGACGAAGGATACGCTCAGTACACCACTTTTTATGTCGGGAACGAAGGCAGTAAATACAAACTCACTGTGTCGGGATATTCAGGAACCGCAGGCAGGTCTTGTTTTAAACAAATCTTTTTATTATTAACCAGCACTGTAACATGATGATAAAATGATTGCAAATATCTAATATTTTACATCAACATAATTCTAATTCTAGTTATTTTTATTATTATACTGAGCAATTATAAACCTAAACAATTTTGACAAAACCTGCAATTTCTCGAAATCTCACTAATTCTGAACATATATATAGACAACGTATTGTCAATAAACAATGGTTACTTCCATTCTTATGTCGATACGTGAGCCTGGTGAGCTTGATGTAAACGATAGAGTCTGACACAACTGTTTCATACTTGGATATTTTACTTGAAAAAGACGTTAATGGTAATCTAAAAACTACGCTTTATGATAAACGTGATGACTCTAACTTTTCAATCGTCAACTTCCTTACTTAAGCAACGATATACCTTTATCACCTGCATACGGTTTATATATATCTCAGTTGATTTGATACGCAAGACAATGCTCTACATATGTGCAATTTCAAAACATGGGAAATTATTGACAAACAAGTTGATGAAACAAGAATATCAGCAGTCTGGTTTGAAGTCATCATTTTGTTAGTTCTACAATCGATATGATGACCTTGTCAGCAAAAAAAAAATTATCATTGAGTCAATACTGACTGACGTTTTTCATTCAAATTGTTAGGCCACTATTTATACATTGATTTTTCCGTTATTTCCCATTCATAACAAGGGGCACACGGCGGGTGTGACCACGGGGCAGGGTATGTTCACTCCTCCATGGCACCTGATCTCACCTCTGACGTTGTAGAGGTCCGTGTTTACTCTGCTCTTATTTTGCATTGTGTAATGGACTTTGAGCTTGAATACTATTCGTTATCTCAATATATTTCATTTGACTTATTCTTATTGTAAATGAACGAAAGGTTTTAGATTAGATAAGAGTTAATGAGCAAAAGAATTGAGGTTAGGGAAAACTCATTTTACTAGATGTTACATAAAATAGTTTTAGATTGTACATAATTAAACTAGATTGATGTTACTTTGTTACGATAGTTTTTAATTTATCAGCTTTGGACTTCCTCTATTTCAGGTGATAGTTTGCGTGGAGCGAGATTCAGTATCAAGGACCAGGAGAATGACAGGTGTAGTGATGGTAAATGTACTACAAAATATCACGGAGCCTGGTGGTATACGTGGTATGGTGTCTCAAACCTTAACGGGCTGTACAGCCGGTATCGTGTGTTTGCTTATAAATACCCGGTATGGTATAGCTTTGATGGATGGTATGCTTTACAAAAAACTGTGATGATGATTAGACATTAAATAAAATGTTACAATGCCATAAAATAGTTTATGTTATGATATTGTCATTTTATTACAAACACACACCTATTCAAATTTTTACTTGAATACGCCATGTTAAAAAGTTTAATATTAGTTGTGTCTTTTTAATTATCAACATTCAGTGTACAAGTATCAAACAATTCAAAAAAAATGTATTTGTTGCCATTAAGAAAATAATATTGTTTTCAAATGAATTTTAGTAACATTTTATGATCATCAGACTCATTTCTCCTGTTAATTGTTCTGTTTATAGAAGAAATGTATACCAGATATCATTGTCACTAACAGGTTTCCTAATAAGGAGAAATTAAATCAGAAAATTGTTATATGTAGGACCACAGTAGTAAGTCCTGTTTTAATGAGTGGTTTACATGTGAATTAGGAGCTATAATATTCTAACGTGTCAATCATGCTTAAATCGATAGTAAATTAAATGTAATACATGTAATTTTGTTAGGTAAAAGGAAATTTCACACCAAAAGAATGTTTAAGGAAATGATAGATGAATTTGAATAACACGCATTTTAAATTAACTCCTCTAGACATTTTTGTTGTAAAAATATTTAATACTGCTTAATTATTTAACTCTATAAGATTTAACAGCTACATTTTATTACTAAACAATAAAATTGGGTTAATTTTTCTTTTTGATATTCATACACTCATACTGAGATTAATTGGAAATACATGTACAAACTTTTAGATTTTGGTGCAAGCTCGGAAGGATTAACATTTGACATATCTTTTCTCTACAAACCCTGAAAACTATAATGTTCAAATTTAAGTTCTCTCTCTCTTTCTACCGTCTTGCTTCTATTTTACTGCATACCGTGCAAAGATTATTTTTTTTAAAGTCACAGAAGAGTAAATGTACAATATGATGCTTATACAACTCAAATGCGATGTTCATTTCTTTTTAAATAGCAATAATTTGCCAAAAAAAAAAAAAAACAAAACAAAAATAAAATAAAAAAACAAAACAAAAACATTATATATCTTTATGAAAACTGTAACAACTACCCTTTGCTTTGTTTGATAATGACAAGAAACTAGTTTTGCTGTCCTAATCTAATATTATTTTATTTTTCAGTTACGACCACAAACAATATTTTTTTTTAATGAAATCTCTCAATATCTGTAAAATTACATCACTGAAGAATTACCAGTATGAGGTTTCAAAAATTACACACTTAATGAAAAATGCTTAAAAAAAGAATTTCGTTCGGACTGTATCTCTCTAACATACTTTTCCTTTTCAATAACATATCTTTTTATAGGTTATGATAAAACGATATATAGATTTGTTGCTGGTTGAGGTTCAGATTTCAGATAAAGTGCAGCGCCAATAGCAACATGCAGCGCTCATCGCAGATTACTCAAATCACCTTCTTGCTAACGTTAATTACAAGGAAAACCAAGGAGAGCAACAACAAAATAACCGGAAATAAAAGTCAAATCTTTTAAATTAACGCTCTCAGAAGACCTATCAAGAGGAAGAATGCTTTCAAAGCGCTTATACACAGATTTTGAGTTAATATTTTCCCAAATTTTCGGTATGATATCATGGTTTATATAGTATTTTAGCGTTTCACACAGACATACAATAAAATGATTTCTTGAAATTATAAACTACGAGTTTCGTTTGATCGACACTTTATTGCACTTTTATGAATTACACTTTATCCTTAATACTTAAGAAAAGTAGAAATTTTATATTGTATTAATGAAAAAATATTAAAACTTTAATCCAAAAAATTCAGAGTAGAAATGTGAGAAAGCAAAACCAACTCACCATTATTGTCAATCCGTGCTCAAGATGTGTGCTGAGTTTAAGAATTTGAACACACCATGTAAAACGTAAACATTAACAATAACAGAGCTCGTACCCTGTTTACAAAAACAGTTTACGTTTCACGGGTGTGTTCAATTTGATAATCTCTCACGTAAAAGATTTTGTTTAAATTTTGCATCATATGAATACAGAAATAGGTCTGCTTACAATTGTGCGCACTTGTTACACATGGGAATTCCAATAGTGTAGAGAAATTGATATTGTCAATCAAAACCTCAAGCATCGTTTTAATATCATCTTTAAGAGTACTAAAGTGTACAATCAGAATGCTTTTGACAGAATAATTTTGCAAATGGCTTATGACGTAAGGTAAGTAAATTCACGAGTTCCCTTCCTATTTAGAAAGCAGATGTCAATGATGTCAAAAATCCTCCACTTTAATTTATCGTGGAGAATGGTTGCATATACAGTTGAAAAGTCGATAGTTTTTATGTTATTAATTTTGGTATTTTTTTACAATTTAAAATTTTTCCAAAGTTCCATGAAATTTCACAAGAAGAAAAAAGACCTTTCAGTTAAAACTGAAATTCGGCTTTCAGTGACTTTTCAGTGACTATTCAGTCACTGAATGGCAGGTATATTTCAGCAATAATTTAGGTACTTTTCAGTTACCATTCAGAGGACACATTTCAGTTATCTTTCAGTGACTTTTTCGTCGCCTTTCAGTGACCTTTCCGTCATCTTTCAAGGAACTTTCCCTCGCCTTTAAGTGACTTGTCTGTCATCTTTCAGTGACCTTTTAGTTTTAATTCAAAGTTTTTTTTTACTGGCTTATCATTGATTAAGGATCAGTGTTATTATCAATTATTCAATTTTTTGAATAAAATCATTTACGTCTTAAAGTCATATATGGCGTTTTTTGATAAGTTCAGACTAACTAAAATTCTAAAGATCTCAAAATCCAGGCTCTGTGAAGTATTCTTGTGAAGTTAAGAAGCAATAACTGATGTAAATTTGTAGTAAATACTTGATGTAGTCTTCAGCTTGAGGTATGGTGAAATGAAAATGTGGACCATTTTGTGATTAAGAGTATAACTTATATTAACTGCGTCTATTCCTTTGCTTGCATATTGAAGTTTAAAAAAGGCAAATTGAAGATTTTTTAAAAAATGGGTAGTTTCAGTTGTATTTTCTTCGGTATAACATGGCGGATAAAAAAACGTATGATTTGCAACACCCATAACAAAATATCCGATACAGTTTTCGTGTGTCGAGTAATCCAAATATGGTCTTTCCTTAACTATTATTAATAGACTACTAGTATTCAAAACTTTCAAAGAGACAGAGTTTGATTCTAATCTGATGAATGCCCAATTGTTTTTCTTTACATTATACTGGTTTCTTTCGGTTTTACTTGCATGATTATTTTTTATGTAAACCTTTTTTGTGTCTTTCAATGGTACATCCATTCTGCTGAAATGTTCGCCAAGACACTATTAAGTATAAGGTTAACATAGGTTTGATATTATATTATCTTTAAATGCGTACTTCTTTTTAACAATCGTTAAACAAATAGAGATAAAATTTGTAAATATTTATTTAATATAGTATTCTCATATGTACATCAAGGTAAACAAGGATTTGATTAAATATGTGTATTTTGCGGTTAATAAGAGCAAGAAAATGTGTTACCTTTATTTCGTTTTTTCGCTGCTAATCAATGGCCGATGTAAGAAATTAAATAACATCGTCTTAAAATAGACATGTTTTCAATAGGTATAAATTTATTTTCTTCCTCTTTCATATTATACTAAACCATCTCCTTTATATCTATAGAAAATTTATTCAAAACCGATGTCCATTATAACAGAATTGAAAAACATTCTTATTGTGTAAAGAAATTGGCAAACTTCCATTTAAAATAACTTTTTTTAAAAAAAGATAACGACAGGAATAATAAAGGTGTGTATCTTTACGTGACCTTTTCAATAAGTCAACCAAATTTAAATATCATGAAAAAAGAGTAATATAACAATAACAATCACAATATTGCAAGGAGTTATTTCAAAACATTTATTTTATTTATTCTATTCCTGTTTCATATTAAACCTGCCAGCCCCCTTCATTAGAGTATCTACTTTTCATACTTCCACAGCATTGAAATATCTACTTTGATATGTTGTGTAAATTGTTCCTATAATTGCCACATTTTGCTTTTCATATATAACAAATAAGCTAATATTTTCCAGTAAAAAATAGAGAATTCACGTACAACCGCTTCAAGTAGACTCTCAACAATGATTCTTTTAAGAATATTCTAAATTTGAATGTTTAATACTCTATTCTTAGGTACTCTTCTCTCTTTTGTACTCTACTCTCTTTGGTTCTCTACTCTCTTTTGTACTCTACTCTTTTTTGTAATCTACTCTCTTATGTCCTGTACTCTTTTAGGTACTTTACTCTCTTTGGTACTCTACTCTCTTTACTCCTCTACTATCTTAGATAATCTAAACACTTTACTCTTAGGCACTCTTCTCTCTTTTGTACTCTACTCTTTTTGTTTCTCTACTCTCTTTTGTACTCTACTCTCTTTGGTTCTCTATTCTCTTTTGTACTCTACTCTCTTTGGTTCTCTATTCTCTTTTAAGTTCTCTACACTTACTCTTTGGTACTTTAATATTTTTGTACTCTACTCTGTTAGATAATCTACTCTCTTTGGTACTCTACTCTCCTTGGTACTCTACACTTACTGATAATCTACTCTCTTTGGAACTCTACTCTCCTTGGTACTCTACATTTACTGATAATCTACTCTCTTTAATACTCTACTCTATTTGGTACTTTAATATTTTAGGTTCTAAACTCTCTTTGGTTCTCCACTATTTTGGTACTGTACTCTTTTTAGTACTCTACTCTCTTTGGTACTCTACTATGTAGTCTACACTCTTTGGTACTCTACCCTCTTAGGTACACTATGTAGTACGAATGAACTTTTGTACGAGCTACTAAGGGGTTTCCCCGATTCTATAATTAGATTAACAAAGACTTTCTTCCCGCCAGCCCGTGCAGTACTGCAGGAGTTTGATATTTGTATTCTGATATATTTGTACTTTAATATTGTTGTACCTGTGCTTACAGAATACATTCTAAGTAAAGGGGTAATTTTTCTATATTGGCGTCGCCGGTAAAAGAACTAAACGCTCGTTGACTGATAACTTGTGAGTTAGTTTGAATTTCGTGCGTAGTCACTGTAGAATTTTGAGCAGGTTTCACGATTTAATATTGCGAAAATTGCTTGTTACTTCAGAGGTTCTACAACAGCTGAAAACGAAACAAGCAGTACATTTTGAATTTGTTTTGCATTTTTACAATTTTCACACGGTAAACTTGTACACGTGAAAAAATTAAGTCGACAATTTGTCATTGTTATTTATGGCAATAACATATTGTTGATTAATTGAGAAAGTATATGTGCTAGGACTTTCAGGAACCCCCGGAAAGTATTATTTTTGAATTTTGTGGAAATTAGTGTATTCAAAATGGCACATGGCAATGAAAATGGTGAGAAAACAACAAAGTTTAAAATCAATTATGCAAATATTGAAGAATTGAAAACATTACCATCAGTTGGTGAAGCAACAGCCCAAAACATTGTGTATTTCAGAGCTGCTAATGGTAACATCACACCTGGAAATTTGGTCACCATAAAATTTGTCAAAGAGAGCAAAGAATTTTCACAAATGATAGATTTTGATCCGAATTCAAGTTTGGTAAAAAGTAATGATGGTGATGTAGAGAACAAAACAAATGAAATTGAGTCCTCGCCAGTTCATCAACCAGAACAAACAAAACAAATTATTGACAATGTTGAAAACTTACTGAATGCAAAAAATGAAATAGCAAATGAAAAATTAGGTGTTAAGAAAGACATTTAGCCTGTACCTGGGGTAAAATTAGAAACACTTGACCTTGAACAAGCCCAGCTCATTGGTCTTCAAGTTGATAAATCAAAGGGTGCTGTCCTGAAAAACAACGGTAAGCATGTGTCAAGTCAACCAACTACTGGTCACCTTGTAACAAGCAACATAGTACATTTAATTTACCTGTGTCAAGTCAACCAATTACTGGTCACCTTGTAACAAGCCAACCTTGTACATTTCATTTACCTGTGTCAAGTCAACCTTCATCAGGTCACGGTCAGTCAATACTAGGTCAACCTTCATTAGGTCAGCCTATCCAGCTCAAGGTATGCAATGCTTGTCTATGTCACAGCAGCCTATGCAAGGTCAATCAATATACAGTACTAGGTCGTGTCAACCAATGTCAACTCAAATGACACAAGGTCAACCTATATTTGCACAACCAATGTCCACCCACTCAGTGCAAGATCAGCCTTTTCATGGTCAACCAATCAGTACCCAAACAATGTCCACCCCCTCAGCACAAGGTCAACCTTTATTTGGTCAACCTATGCAGAATCTATATGCAGACAAGAACATGCAAGGTCACATGTACATGCAGGGTCAGCCTAATCCAAGTCACCCTGTTCAAGGATCTTTATGGTCGGGTCAACCAACATTGATTCAATCCAGTCAAGGTGGGATTATGCCATATCAGTATACCGTACCCATGGCAACTCCACACAGTCCTCAAGGTATGTTTCCATCTCAGTACCCTAATGTCAGTTTCAAAGTTATAGTTACCCATGGCAACAAAATCAAGGTAATCGTATGCAACCAAAGCATGGGATCATGGTACAACAAAATCCAGGAAATGAAGGGCAACAATACTGTGGCAATACGGTGCAACAGGCTCAAGAAAATAATCAGCAGCCTCCTACAGGTAATCAGTTATTGCAGACGCAACCTCAAATAAATAACCAACAACCTATCAATCAAGGTCAACAACTAGCAGTAAACCAACCTGCTCCGATAGTAAATCAACCTGTGGCACCCCCGAGAAACAGAGGAGGACAGAATCGTCAGGTAGATGATAACCCTCCCAAGGGACTGAAATATGATGGAAAAGATAATTGGTTAGGATTTAAGCACAAATTCATGAGATACTACCAAGTAAAGAACTGGACTCCAGAAATTGCAAAGGATTATTTGTTTTGGTGCCTCGAAGGTAAAGCCAGTGAATTTTATGCTTCAATTGTCCCCAGAAATCAAGCTATTGGTTTTCCAGAAATCCTTAACAAGTTGGAGAAAAGGTTTGGTGGAGTACCATTATCAGACACAGCACAAGTACAATTAGCAAACTCTAAACAGAAGCCTGAGGAATCTATAGAGGACTGGGCAGACAGAGTCATGCTGTTGTCTATACGTGCATTCCCTGAGTTGCCAGAAGAGTATATGTACCAACAAGCCCTGAAAAGAATTTGTCATGGATGCGTTGATAAGGAAGCAGGTTAGTATGTCGTGAATCTAAATTCAGATTCTGTAGAACAAGTTATAGATAAAATCAAAAGCTTCCAGTTCAATCATCAGAGTATCTATGACAAGCCTAAAAAAGAGGTACGTGAGATATACATTTCTTCAGACCATGCAAGTTCAAGTGAAGATAAGATGCCTACTGTCAAAGTAAGAAGATCAAAACAACTAAAGCCTTCTAGTAATGAAGAAAAACAGAAAGTGGATACCCAGCTGAACGAACTCTCAAAGCACATGGATGATATCAAAGATGGCATTTTTTCATCAATCCGTCATCTAGAGAAAATGCAACCACAGTTGACAAACATCTCAACGAAGAAACCAGTGAGAAGTACATCTCCATCACCCAGTGATGGTAATTATTTCAACTGTGATGGTCCAGGACACTTTTCAAAAGACAGTCCACAGAAGAATGCAGATAACAAACCTGCTAAGCACGTATCCTTTTCTGTGAATTTAAACGAGACGGGATCAGGCCAACATTAAAAAATGGTTCTACTGATGTTAGGTGCTCGACAGAGATGACAGGTAAGAAAAGTCTGTTCTGTCTATGCCGTGGCCCTAACAATGAAGACTTTATGATACAATGTGAAGAGTGTAAACAATGGTATCATGGGTCTTGTGTAAATGTTACCCCAGGACAAGCCGAACAAATTGATGTTTATCTTTGTCCTGATTGTATATAATGTGTAAAGTATGTTTTTATTTTAGCCATGTCTGACAGAGAAGAGACAAAGAGGGCCTGGAAAGAAGCAGGAAGTTCAAGACAGCGACCTAAGGCCAATAAGTTCGAAGCTCTTATAAAGCCAGGCGAGAGTGTAATGGACTGTGTCCGCCGCCTTAGTGATAACCACATCATGGTGGAGCCTAAACGTTTATACATGAATCTAGTTACACAGAGTAATGATGACTTGAAGAAAGGATCCGTCCTCCAATACAAGGTTGCCAAGACATTGGGGTTCAAACACTGGATTTATGAGATGAGGTTAAACTGCCAATGCGATTTGCCGGACTCATGGATTGAGGAAAACTTGCCCTCCTTAACCCGACAGAAGCTGGTGAAGCCTCATCGGCTATCCAAACTATCTGATGCTACCGTAACTTCGCGCGACATCAGATTGACTACTGATCCTTCTCTGCAAGTTGTCCGGATGAACGCTGTTGATGACTCAGTGCTGGATTTAACCGAGCCTGTTCCTGTGACGTCAGTAGCTAGTGGTGAGACAACCTCAAAGGAAGAAGAAGAACATGAAACAAAAGTAAAGTCTACCACCAAGCCAAAACTCTTTAAGAAATCTCACAGCAAAGAGTCAACATCAGTCGTAAAATCAAGACCTTCATCT